AACTCATGTCTTAGACTAATATGTCTAGACTTCCCGTTATATACTCCATTATATGCACGGGCTAAAGTTGCTTGACTATCACAGTGTATTGACACTGTTGATATATTATTTTTAGTAAAAGGGATATCCAACATGAGATCCCGAAGCCACTCTACTTATTTTCCTGTTGCAGCAAGAGCTATAAACTCTGCCTCCATGGTTGAATGTGATATACAAGTCTGTTTCTTTGATCCCCAAGAAACAGCTCCTCCTCCCAAAGTAAACACCCAACCTGTGGTTGATATATTATCTCCCACGCTTTATATCCAGCTTGCATCTGAATATCCTTCAAGTATAGCGGGAAACTTAGAATATTGGAGGTTTAGTTCTTTGGTATTCTTTAAATAGCCAAAAACTCTAATAGCTTTCCAATGTTCCACGCTTGGATTGCTAGTAAACCTACTTAGTTTACTAACTGCAAATGAGATGCCAGCCCTATTACATTGTGCAGCATACATTAGACTTCCAATTGCACTTGCATACTCAAGTTGAGCCACCGCTCTACCGTCATTCTTCTCAAGCTTTAAACTTGAATCAAATGGAGTATTAACATTTTTAATCTTGAGATGATTAAATTTGCTAATTATTTTCTCAATATAGTAGGTTTGGTTTAAAAAATAAGCCCCACTATGTTTTTTTACTTTAATACCCAAAATGGTATCAACTTCTCCAAGATCTTTCATCTTGAAGGTTAATGATAGAAACCTCTTCGTTTCCATTATTCCTCTCATGTCATCACTTAAGATTAACATGTCATCCACATATAAACACACTATGACTATATATTCACTACAAGATTTAGAGTATAAACACTTGTCAGCATTATTATGTCTAAATCCATATGAAATAATAGCACTATCAAATTTTTTATGCCATTGTTTAGGAGCTTGCTTTAAACCATATAATGATTTAACAAGCCTACAAACTTTATGTTCATTTCCCGGTAGAACAAAACCTTCTGGTTGTTCCATATAGACCTCCTCATTGAGATCTCCATTCAAGAATGCCGTTTTGACATCCATCTGATGAACAAATAGATTATGAATTGATGTCAAAGCAAACAATATCCTAATCGAAATTGTTCTTGCCACTGGAGCATATGTATCGAAATAATCAATACCTTCTTTTTGTTTAAATCCTTTAGCTACTAATCTAGCTTTAAAAGTTTGAATACTCCCATCAGTATTGTATTTCTTACGAAACACCCACTTGCAACCAATTGGTTTAGATCCTGCTGGAAGATCTATCAATTCCCATGTTTGATTAGATATAATAGAATCCATTTCATCATTGATTGCCTCTTTCCAAAAAGCGGCATCTCTCGAATCAATGGCTTCTTTGTATGTTTTGGGATCCTCCTCCACTTGAAGTATTATAGAAATTTTCCTAATAATATCTTCTCTATTTCCCTCTACTAAATAAAAGGAAATTCTTTGAGAATCAATCTCATCCGATCCCAACAATTTTTCTTTTCTTTGTCTTTGACTTTTTCTCACCGGCACCAATGGGTTCTCAACAACCGTCATTGGTTCATTCTCTTTATACTCTTCAAGATTAGTAGATTCTTGAGAACTACTCAATAAATTCTCAAATAATTCTACATCTTTTGATTCAATTATCACATTAGATTCCAAATCTAATAGCCTATAAGCTTTGCTATTTGTGGCATAACCAACAAATGCACACTTTATGACTCTCGAACCCAATTTTCTTTTGTTTAGGTCCGTTTTCTTGCAATATGCAAGACACCCCCACACTTTGAAGCAACCTATATTAGGTTTTCTTCCTTTCCATAGCTCATATGGAGATTTTTCAATTTTCTTCATAGGGATTCGATTCAAAATATGACATGCAGTCAACAATGCATCACCCCACAACTCAAAATTTAATTTAGCATGCAATAACATAGCATTCACAATTTATATAAATGTTTGATTCTTTCTCTCTGCTACACCATTATGTTGTGGTGTATATGGTGTTGTACATTCATGAATAATGTCATTTTCTTCACAAAATAAATTAAATTCATTTGAGAAATATTCACCACCTCTATCACTTCTCAAAATTTTAATCTTTTTACCAAGTTGATTTTCAACTTCAGCTTTGTAAACTTTAAAGGCATTAAAAGTTTCACTTTTGTTTTTCAATAAAAACACATAGGTAAATCTTGAACAATCATCAATGAATGTAACAAAATACCTATTCCCGCCTCTAGTTTTTACACTGTGAAGTTCACAAAGATCACTATGTATTAAATCGAGCAAATTCGATGATCTTTCCACACTTTGAAAAGACTTTTTGATCATTTTAGATTCAACACATATTTCACATTTTTTAAATTCATTTATATCACAATTAATTAAACCACTTTTGACAATTTTTGTAATAGTGCTTAAACCAACATGTGCAAGCCTATTATGCCAAAATGACAAATAATTTGAGTCACACACATAAACAGAAGTAGATGCCTCTTTATTCAAATTATTTTGAATACCAAGCTTAATCAGCCCATCAGTAGAATAACCTTTTCCAACAAAATTCCCCGATTTTGTTAATATTAGCTTACCGGATTCAAACACAACTTTTATACCCGGCTTGGTAAATCACCACTGACAAGATTTCTATTCATATCGGGAACATACAAAACATTAATAAGTGTAATCTTTTTCCCCGAAGTGAATACAATCTCAATTGTGCCTTTGCCAAGCACCTTGGATTTTCTTTCATTTCCCATTTAAATCTCTTGATCTCCCTTTGCATCTTCAAAGGTTTTGAAAAGAGATTTGTCATAGGTAACATGAACGGTGGCACCGGTATCATACCACCATCCTTGAACCTTCCCGTGGACATCACATACATGGCTTAAAATTGCAACGATCTCATCATCAATTGCATTCACTTCAGCCCCCTTTCGGTCCCTGCAATCTCTTGCAAAATGTCCATGTTTTCCACATACAAAACAAGAGCCGTTCTTTCCCTTTAACTTGTCATGTGTTTTCTTTGGACCAAAAGAATTATTGAATTTTTTATTTTTGTTTTTATCAGCAAAGTGTTTTGGTTTTGAAACCATATTTGCTTTGCTAGTCCCACCATTGGACTCATCAACCATTTTATCTCTCAATCTCGATTCTTCCTCAATACGAAGATGTTTTTGAATCTCCTCCAATGAGTAATCTTCTTTATTGTGGAGAATCCTTTTCCAGTACCCCTTCCAACTTGAAGGTAGTTTAGCCACAATGACCCCAACTTGAAAAGCCACCGGAAGTTCAATTTTTAAAACTCTCAATTTATTCACAAGTATTTGCAACTCATGAATTTGAGGTAATAAAGGCTTTTCAGCAAAAAATTTGACATCAAAATATTGGGAGATTAGAAATTTTTTAGTACCTTCTTCTTCGGTTTTATATTTATTTTTTAAATACCTTCTTCTTCGATTTGAATTGAGTTATTTTTACTATTTGCAAAAAAAAGCTTAATGGCAGTTTTTTGGCCTTCCGTTATTCAATTTCAACTGTTAGAGACTTTTAGAATTCTGGTGTATTCAATTAGAACTTTTAACAACTTCTGAAAAGTTAACATGTATTCAATTGAAACTTTTAATGACTTTTAATAAGTCTCTAAAAGTCTCAGGGTATTCAATTAAAACATTCTGAAAGTTTTTATAAGTCACCCGGCATTCAAAACAGAAAGATTTTGTGAGGCTTTTTAAATTTTGAGACTTTTAGAGACTTTTGTAACAAAATTATAAAGGAAAAGTCTCAATAGAAATCTCATCAATATTGGTGAGATTTGCTGGACTTATGTGACTCTTCTCACGCTCTCTTACTTTTTTTTTTCTTTCTAACACGACTTTGTATCTCATATCATTTTCATGCTCTATTATTTACTTATTTATTTTGATACCTTGTGTAATTTTTATTTTAATTACGTAATGTGATCTTTTTATCTTATATATTCTTTATTAAGCTTATGTTATGTGTGTATACCTCTCATTTTGCTATCTTGTGAATTTGACTTTTCAAAGATTAATGTTTCCATAGTAGCACTTGCAAATAATTTATTTTGTTCTTTTTTTTGTAAATGTTTATTTCAAAATATTATAAAAATTATTTTATTTTCAAATAGTTTATTTGTTAATATTGGAATGTTTTGAATATTATTGATAATTTTATAAGATACAATTACTGTTTTTCGGCAATGTTTGTATCTTGTAAAAATATATCCTAATAATAATTTTCTAATATAACAAAATTATGCAAAAAATATAAAAAATAAAATCAATCAATAATTAAATAAATATATCTTAATTTGGGTTAATTATAAGTGTCGTTATAGCACATATGTCTAACACATATTTGAGTTTGTACTCTTTTAACAAACAAATATATGACCCTGCTCGATTCAACACGTTGAAGCTGATCGATTTATTCGTTTAATAAATCTAAAATCCTAAACAATTTATTCGTGAATAACTCATTTCGCATAAAAATGAGTTTATTCATAAATTTTTAGAGAATTAATATATACAACATCTTTTTTTTTCATTTATTCTTGTTTACATTACTTATTATGTTACATTTATTAATATTTTATTCAAACATAATATTATAACTAAGTATAAAAGTCTCAATAAGTTTTAAAAAGTCCATTATGAAAGTCTTGAAAAGTCACTAATGAAAATTATTTGAAAGTCTCAAAAAGTCCACCAAGTCATAAAAGTTCTACAAAATCCACAAAATCATCAAATTTAAAAATTTTTAAGAAGTCCTCAAAAATCTCAATTAAATACCACTGGTTTAAATTGCAAAACAATTAGGTCATTTATTGATATGCCATTAAGCTTTTTTTGCAAATAGCGGAAGGCCAAAAAACTGCTCACTGCAAATCTTTTCTGTGCATATAACCCAAAGCTTATCTCCACAAACGCACAACCATACACAAGCGGGCCGATCACGGCAAACATGGTGCAGGAGTTCCCGCGGCTAACCAACTCTCTGCGGCTCCCTTTCGATGCCGACCAAGCTTATCTCAACCGGAAAACCTTACTTCAGAACCTCAATCGCCGGAGGTATGTATACGCCTTCGTAAATGCTGGTCGAAAAAAAAACATTAGTTAGTTTCACTTTTGCGAATTGATTTGTTATTGATGCTCGATTGACCTTTCAATTTCGTTGGTGCATCAGCTCTCAAGCTTCGTTCGGAGAATCTGAGCTCGCTCGTGCAATCATCCATCGATGGGAAGAAGGTGCTGCGGCTCTCTATAGTTGTGCATAGTAATTGGTGGTTTATACTATATTTGTTTTTTCTAGCTTAGATGAAACTATGTGAAAGTATTGTTGAATGTGTGTTTATTGTGTGCAATGAGCTCAGGAGATTGGGGGAACTTATGGACTTTATTCTGTGCGTGCGTGTGTGTCATGTCTCCTTGTATCAGTTATTTGTCTGATTTGTGCAGCTTCCATGGAGGTGCGACAACTGTACAAGCAGTTTATTGCTGCGGTTGTTGAGCTGGTTGGTGATGAGGTGATGTCGGAGGAGTTTGAGGAACTGGCGCTGAACGTTTATCAGCTATTTAGTGGATCTGAAGAGGATGAGGTTGAACAGAGAGTTTTGGCAAAAAAGTAAACACCTCTATGCTCTGTTGATATATTGAGTCCAAATTTACGCTAGAGATTTTGTTGAGGATTATGTATATGGATTTTATTTTTACCTGAGCATATTATTCAGAAGATCATAGATGGTTTTGATAAATATGGTTTTAGAAATTTAAGTTTGGTTGTTTCTTGGACCCACTTGACATTGTTGGCAGTACTTTGATAATAATACCTAATTTTGTTTGGTTTTCATTTTCCTTTAGGTTTGAGTTGCATAAACTAATTGGACATACTGTTCCGGAAGCAAATATACTGAAAGTTGCATCACTAGTAGAGAGGCTTTCTGGTTTACAGAACACTGAGTATAGAAATAGCAATTCAATGGAAATGGTGAGTGAAGATAGCAAGGATTTGGAATTTGGAGCAGACCTTGCATTCCAACACCCAGCTCGCTTTTTGGTTGATATTTCTCCAGAGGATGCAGAGATTTTGATGGAGGAAACTAGCACATCATCTTCCAATCACGGAGGATGGTCTGATTACAGCCACTCTGCAAATTTGCCTCGTGTTGGTGAAGGTAACTTTGACCTAGAGTGGTTGCAAAATGCTTGTGACAAAATTGTCAGGGCAAGTACTTCACAACTGCCGCGAGATGAACTAGCAATGGCCATTTGCCGAATTCTCGACTCAGAGAAACCTGGTGACGAGGTAAACGAATGAAATTGATGATGCTTTTGTTCTCATATCTAAGCTCTGTATATTTGCTTTTCTAACTTATGAGTGACTAAGTTCTTCAAATTATGGTTTAATATCATAGATAGCTGGAGATTTGCTGGATCTTGTTGGTGACAGCTCCTTTGAAACTGTTCAAGATTTTATCATGGTATAGATAATGTTAATTCATGTTTTGGTGCTTGTTTGTTGACTTAATCCTACTTTATAGTAAGTGATATTATTTAAAGAGGTTTGAGAAATGTGAGATTTTACTTTGTCATGCTTTTAATCTTTAATTCAAGAACTTTGGACTCTTAAATTTCATCCCTTGTGAAGATTATAGAAATATTTCAAAATAATCCATTGCCATTATAATTAATGATGGCGACTGGTAGAAAAGATTTTATTTTATTTTTGGTATTTGAGCAATTCATGAAGTTTGCTTGAAACAAATGTCCTTTATTAGCTGTTTTCTGAAGTCTCTGCCCCCNCCCCCCTCCCCCACCATGGCATCAGCATCGAAAGGGCCTTGTTGAGAGTATCCATCATGGACTGTTGGTACTCAAGACTGATAAGTCGACTTCAAATACACAAATAAGGATCCCAAGTTATGCTACTCAGGTAACGAAGTGGAATTTCTCTCTTTCTTCCTTTTTTTTTTAAACAAACTTAATATGAAATCTTTTCAGTTGCTTGACTATTGAATCTTATCCGACACATGGAATTTCTGGATTCATAGATTATCTATGAAATAAAGTCATTTTCAACATAAAATGTTTTGAGCAGATTTCCTGCGTGTTGTCTATTTTTTAATTTTTTTGTTAAGCTTTAATCTGGTTTAAGTTTAAGTTTTGCATTTGATATAAAGTTTCGTGATTTAGGTAACTGTTCAAACAGAATCTGAACGGCAAATTGATAAGCTTCGCCGCAAGGAGGAGAAAAAGCATAGGCGTGGAACAGATCATGGGATCGAGAATGATCTGTCATCATTGTCTTTCAGTTCCTTACTACAAGCTAGTGAGAAGAAAAATTTACTTGATGATCTTGTTGGGCATGGTGATGGGACTCAGATTGCTGTCACAGCGCTTCCGCAGGACACCATGAGGAAGCATTACAAGGGATATGAAGAAGTCACTATTCCTCCTACACCAACTGCACCAATGAAACCTGGGGAAAAGCTGGTATGTATAATATGTATTGCAGAATTATAATTTCACTAGAAGGGTAACATGTTCTACTTTGTGGTAATATGGGTGAATATAATTTCATGTCTGTTTATTTTGTTTATCTCTGTTAAAGAGGCATATCTTTACTTCATGTTTAATGTTTGAACTGTCGCAGCTAACCTGCATATATAGTTGGCATATCCTCAATGAACTACTC